CCAAAAATAGATGTAGACAAGGTACAAAAGTGAAAGAACTCCTCGCATAAAAGAATTGAAGTATGATACTTTGAAAAGAATTGAATAACTGAAAATGGGGATCAAAAGAGACAAGTTTTGCACTTACATATACTAATACTTAACGGTGAGTGGTTGTTTGGGATGGGGTAACTAGGCAGTATGGAAAATTAGAATTCAAATCAGTTCACAATCCTTATACCATTGAAAAACGTATGACAAAAAAGAAAGAAAGATTCAATTAATTGAATATTGCCATGTTCTTCCTCTCTGAGTCCTAAATTCGGGCAAATTGATCTCGGTGTCAAAAAACAAAGATTTACTCCTTCTGCTATGCTGTTTCACCTATTTTGAGAGAAGAGGATAAGACAAATTGAAAACTCAATAAATTTAGTTATAAGCTAACCGAATTCCATAAGAGAGCTCGTTAGGAAACGTTCCCCTTCCCATCCAGAACCACAAGAGCTAATCATTGACTGAGCGAGGTCCACTTGTCGTTGCAAGCTTTCAATACGCGTTTCGTACTCCTTAGACAGATACAATCAACAAGAAAGCATGGCAAAGATAAAACTTCCAAAACAAAAAAAATAACCGCCAACCTTTGTTTGTCGTAACATCTTCAATTCAAGTTCTTCACGTTCACGTCGGTATTGGCTTTCCATTTCCAACAATTTTTTCTCCATCTCCGCCTTCAGATCGATTCCTTGCTTCTCGAGCAACTCCTGCTGGGCATACTTCCAGTCGAGTGGTTGCTCTAAATAAATATCGAGAATCTGAGGGTTTCAAACCGAAATCAAAGGGAGAAAATGAGCTTAAAGCGGGGGGTAAAGCGAGTGCTGCGCTTTGATTGTATTTCCGGACTTAAGACTCCCACATCATACTACGCTCTATCGCTTTGTTGGCTAATTTAAAGAAAGAGGTTTCTTACGATTACCACTTGAAAATGGGAAGGGATGATTCTTGTCAGTCCGTGGCTTAGCTGAGTATCTACGCTAGCTCATTCTGTATATAATAAATATATTAATCAGCATACAAAAAAGGGTATTTTAAATTTCACTAATAGGTTCTGCTTTTGGCGGGGCAACAAAATTCACGTGAGGATTCTTTTGCAATTTTCTTTGATCGCAATTAAAACCACATGCAAAGGCTCTTTTTTGTGTAATAGATATATGTCTACATGCTAAAGCTGTCTATTTATAGTGCATGCGCATATTAGGCATCTCAAAAAAGGTATCGCT